GTTGTTTTATTGATCCCCAAAATGTGGGGGATTTTTTTCAACACACATACACACTTCAAAAAGACTTGAGAATGTCAAATTAAAATGACCACGGCACTTAACATCATCCTCACAACTAGACCTGGGATGTTACATACCTAAAGCAGATTGTGTGGTATTTAGTATCTTGCTTTACCTTTGACAGAGCAATCAAATTCATCTGAAAGTAAAACTGCATTGTGGAAAGATTTCTAGCATTGCTGTGCAGCACAAGGTGTCATGCAAAACTGCATGCCCTTGTTAGATCCATTGTTTTATCACCACTGTTTTTTCTGAATGCAGATGGGTACATTGTGTTTCCTCATTACCAAAACGTGTCTTCGCACCATGCAACATGGGTTAAAGAATCCAATAACTTTGAACGTCAAAAACACAGAGGATGACACAAACTTTGACAAAACACTGGCCCTAAGGAGGCTTAACACATGAGATTTGTATCCACCGTGGTCGACAGACACCGGCTCAAACCCGTTTGCTGGCACCGGGGATCAAATGTGACTTCGCAAATATCCACCTGGATAAAAAACAAGGTTAGACGGGGAAAGCCAGCCAGCCAGCCGGCCCCGGTGCCAGCCCAGCGACAGACGAATGCTCGCATTCCGCCCGGTCCAGGCTAAAAATAGGCAGCCAACTGGGTGACACACATCTTGCTAGGCTAATGTATCACAGCGACTCAGCACAGGTTTGATAACACGTCTTGGGGGATGGGACGTAAGAGCTTGTGGAAGAGATTAAGCAACGTAAAAAACGTCTTGGTTGTAGCTGGACATCGACTTTACGGCCCGACTTCAGTCTAGAAATAAAATAACGGCAGTGAAGTCCATGCACAGAGCGACTAGCCAATTTACCGTTAGCTACATTAGCTTCGTGGCTAGCGTGCTAGCAGTTATATCCAGTAGCGAAGTAACGGCATGCCAAACCCACGAGTTTGACGAGTTAAATTACTGGGTGCTTTTAGAGCAGACTAGCAAATACCTTTAAGAAGAAGTTAATTTTGTACTCAAAGGAGAATTTACAACATAAAAGCTGGCACGGTTAGCCACCCTCTTATCGTTGTCTCCCGCTGTGCCGCCGCCTCTCACACACTCTAGTCCGCGGATTGAGATGTAAACAAGGCCCTCTGGAGCTCGGGAGGAAACGGACACATTTATAAAACTGCTGCGTTACTTTCCGCTGGTTAAAGTCTGTGTGATTTACCTCTCAGAGAAGTGTCGGCTATGCCCGCGTTGACAACCAACAGTGGTTTTTGTGTGGGGAAATCCACAGAGCGATTTACACTGTTCGCCTGGCTGGTAGGCGGAAGATAGACGGTTACAGAGGTGCTTATCAATGACGTCACTTCCGCGTTTCTCATGCCAGCCTCCTCTCTCTTATAGGACATGAAGCAGTTTGATTCAGTGCATTACCGCTGTCCATTAATACTTTATCACTTACAAGGATGGAGCAACATCTTTTAACTTCTTACAAACAGACATCCATATACTGCACGAGTTTCAGGGGTTATTTTCAGAGGTGGGACCAAGTCATTGTTTTGCAAGTAACAAGTCATAAGTCTTCGCACCCAGGTCTCCAGTCAAGAGTGACAAGTGACAAGTCAAGTCCAACCTCCTAAACTTTGAATACTGAGTCCTAAACAAGTCATAATGCACTTTTCACCAAATGTAATGTCATTTTGACGACATAGTAATAATACATTTACAAATATCATGAATACTTATTAAAATTTGTATGTGCTGAAACACGTTTGTAGGGGAACAAGTGTGATTGAGCCCTTTCATAAAAAGAAGTGCTGACATTGCTCTTACATATAATATAGCACCATTAACCCATACTTCTATAAAATTACTATGATGTTAAAATTGGCCTCAAGTTAGCGTTCTTTATGCAACTTCAAATCTCAAACAAAGCCAAAAGTTGTTGCGTCTCCATCTGTAATTTTTGACCCCCTTGTTTTGCTTACTGCAATTGTTTGTTTTTTTAATGAACACCAATAGTTTTTGTACAGAAACAAAATTATCTTTGATATCATTTTTTCCAAGTGCTACTCAGCAACATGACATTGGTTCTTCATATTTTTCTCTTGCAACTGCAGTGTATTCTGTCAGGGAATGAAGTGTCCACTTGCTGGGAATGAATAGCGTTAATGTTGGTTGTTCAGGACATAAAAGGAAACTAACTGATTCATGGCGCACTTTTTAAATAAAATACTTTTAATCTCTGGGCTTGGGGGAAGGTATCAGCTATTTTCAAGTCAAAAGGCTCAAGTCCAAGTGAAGTCACGAGTCACTGGTGTTAAAGCACAAGTCGAGTTGTAAGTCTTATTTGATTTTGTGAAGTCTAAAGTCATCAAATTTGTGACTCAAGTCTGACTTGAGTCCAAATCATGTGACTCAAGTTCCCACCTTTGGCTATTTTAATGTGAAGTAAACCTTACAACCAGAATTTTGCTTGAATTAGTTGCAGGTTAGGTAGTTAGTTCCCAGTGTACCAGTCCCAGTGTGCACACATCTACATCACAAAAACCAGAAAGAAAAGTGTTCGCAAACCCTCTGTTTCGTCATGCAACCCACACCCTATTGTCTTTCATCATTGCATGAGGGTTGCAAAAAAAATCCCTTTAACACACACATTTGTTTTGCTGTCTGTGCTTTGGAGATTTTAAGCTCTGTGATATAGTAGTTATTTGTTAAAGTACAGCAGTTGCAGAGTAGTTTAGCCAGGAGCAGGTGGTCTGTGGCACAGTTGAACCATGAGGTGTGTTCAGGGCTCTCTGTTAACATCACAGTCACATCACCATGATGTAATTAAATGTCAATACACAAATCATCCTAATTAATCAAACTGACTACATTACTATGTTTGATATTCAAACCCTATCATAGCACCATCATTCCACATATTGGTGATGTATATGTACATTTATTCGAATGTATAGCAACATGCCTTTCTCATACACTGTTACATTATTACCTCACATTTGGGTTAGTGTAAATCATAGCAATTTGATTCTGATAGCAATGTTAACAGTATTATACTTATTTTGAAGTTTAGACATTGTCATATTAAAAACTGCACAGGTCTAAACTGCTCCTGTTACTTCCTTTGCCTATATGTGGCACAGTTTGGACTGAAACTGCAGGTACTACAGCTCTGCAAATGGATGGAAACATTACTCTCAAGTGTTTTAGATCTGAAGGTATAGGACCGGTGGCTTTATAAACAATGCATTACCCTCTGTGCTCCTCAGCAGCACCTGAGAGAAGCACAGGGCCAGGCCCCTGGGGTTAATGCATTGGTAATTGGTCTTGGATTGCTGAGGAGGACGATACATCAGAATCCAGTGCAGCTGACGTTTGGTGTTTACGCACACAAGATGTCATTCACAACAGTTCGGTCATTACTGATGCAAAATTACACGCTCATTTCACCACAAAATATTCATTAGCTCACACTGGGATTTTCATGACACACTGAGGAATTGTGCAAATTTACTGAAAGATATTCAAACTTTTAAACATAATCATTGTGAGGTCAAACCATGTTTTAAAAACTGTCTAATAAATGTAACAAAAGCAAAGACAGATGACAAAATGTATTTTATAAAAAGACTACAGCATTCAATTTGGTGGTTTTGCTTTTTACTGTTATTTCAACATTTCTTAGAAAAATACTTTTTTATACTAAAAATGGTTTATTATTTGAAATACAACCATGATCTGAGGTGTACAAACACATATAGAGACACAAGGTGTGAAACAGTGAGCAAAGTGTGAAAGAGCTGAGCAAGAGGCTGAATGTGAGGGCTGATACAGAATACAGCAGAAACAAGTGAACTTTTGGGGATGCAGCAGCCTAACAAGGAAACAGACAAAAAGAGGAAGTACAGTATTTGTGAGAATGAAGATAGAGAGAATGTGAGCGAAGAAATCATTTAACAACTTCTTAATTACTGTGATTTTCATGCTTAATCCTCAAGAAAAGAGTCACTGCTCCATATGTGCTTCTGCCTGTCTGTGTCAGAACATTTACATCAACTCAAAAGTGCACAGTAGCAGAGCTTCACGGCTGTTTGTGCTCACTCCTGAAAACGTGACAACTGGGAGATACAAGGGTTTTCACTTAACAGCAACAGTACAAGTTCCTGTTTTCATTGTGTCAGGTTACATAGTGTACAGTCCAGCCAACGACAATGGCTGTGGTCCAGTTCGTCACATGGTGGCAGGGTTGGGGAAACACGCTTGTATGGACTGAGATGAAGTGAAACAGTAGCCGGTAGTGGTGCCACTACAAGCCAGAGGAAATATAATTATTGGCCTGTATTGTTTGTAGTGTTGTTGATACATGGACTATTGTGTTTACTTGACACACAAGCCATCAATTCAAGTTGGCAAAAGCTGTAAATGCAGTTTTGTGTGCTTAACTGAGAGGGAAATCATGCCCAGCAGGCTCAGACCAGCACTGTGCTGATCGAGTTTTGGAGCAGACCCACTGAATACTTGGAAGAGAGCTGAGTGTACCGCAGCAGTGCATCGTTACGCACTGGTATAATAAGGACACTCCCCTGTTTTCACATTCATGTTGAGTTGTTCTCTCCAAGGGAACCTGATAACAATTTTCAGCACGCGTGTCAACTTGCTGGATTTGATATTCACCACCTTGTGCATTTTTTCCCTCTGGCATGTACTGCATTTATACTGAGCTCTCATATAAAAAGCTAACATTACAGTGCATGAGCTAATGGGAGTGTGCACAGTGATGGTGGAGACAGCAGGTTTAATGCATGTATTATCACCGCTGGGAGAAACAGATCGATCTGCAGATCTGTTCACTACTAAACATTCCTCTCCTTCCTCTTCTTGACCAGACTTGCAAAAATTGATTCCAAATTTTTTTCTCCTGTGGCACACTTTATGCTGCTTTCAAGGTATGCGAACAGCTGCCAAATTAAATATCAGGAGTCAGTCAGTCAAATTCTTTAATGAGAGCAATCTTACTTTAACCTAACTTGTGGTTTTGGATCTCCCACATCACACTTTCTCAAAAGGGAACATATGTTTCTCCTGTCCTCTCTTTTCACGTTTTGTCGTCGTCTTCTTCTTCAGTCCACTGATGCTCCCTCCGTCCTCCTCGGCTTGTCTGTTCTGGGGCCAGGACATGGCCAAAGTCTCAGCTGCCGTCTTATCTGAAGAACTTTCGCCCTCAACCCTCTCCTCATCTGACGAAAACCCGCCGGTCTCCTCTCCATGAGCGAGTCCATGGTTCTTCTTTCCATAACGCTGCTTAAGTCTTTCTTTGATCAGGAGCCCCTTCACCAGCAGAGTCCAGTTGGAGAGTGCTCTCTTTTCTTTTTTCTAGGAAGTGTAACAGAAGAAAAGATGATGTGTTTGGGTGCTGAACAGGTTTTAAATGACTGTTTACATTAACTTGAAAGTGAGCTGGTTCTTAATAACTAAATGTGTCACCTTAACTGCAAATTATCACAACTACATGGTCATAGAAGGTTATTAGCTTCTACACAGTCAGTCAATCTTAAACACACACCTCTCTCTCCCTCTGTTTTTGGAGCTCTTGTTCTTCCACCCAGGCTGCTCTGAGAATCTCCTCATGCTCCTCACACACAATGTAACCATCAGTCCTGAAACACACACACATAAAATATTGATTTTGTCCTTGACATTTAACACATTTTCATAAAAACTACATTTATTTTTTTATTATTAACACCCTATGAGCAGATTTCACAATGTGCAGACTATGGGCTGTTGACTGATTTCATTTTGTTACTTGACTGATCTTATTTTAAATATTCAAATCATACTTTCCAAACGTTTACAATGGTGTAATTTTACCTGAGAGAACAAAGAGAAAGAATGAAAAAGTAGAAACTTTACTGAGCTACAACAAGAGCAAAAAATTAATGAATGTGATGTAACTGTGCAGCGATTTTTACAAGATGTATGAATCAAAACACACTAACGACATCAACAAGAATCAACATCGTTGAGAACAATACAGCTTAGAAAGCAACTGATCTAAGCTAAGAATGTGAGAGTTAATTAAACACTTGACATTTTGGCAATGATCATGATTCAAGTGTTTTCTTAGGATGTTTAATATGAAATAATGTTGTAAATAATATTACGTGTTCTTAGAAAAATACCCTACATTAGAAAGAAGCAACTGTTAAAATCACTGGCAATAAAAAAATAAATAAATAAATCAGATTCAATACAGTGCTTTTCTTGAACCCTGAGACTATGATGGGACTGAAATCACTGACATCCTCCTGTACTGATCACATCCCCCTTCTTCCTTGTGTTTTATGATGTTATATGTTATCTTACACAGCATGCGAGTATCCTCCATGGAAGTCAAACCCTGTGACCGCAGGGGCGGCGTCCAGGCTCAGCTTCCTGGCCACGCGGTTAAGGTTGGACAGCCTGAGGTGAACACAGCCCACCGGTAACATACAGGGCTTAAACAGGTAGACGTTACCATAGTCGTTTCGGGGAACCTCAAGGGAACAGGCACAATAGATTTGTAAATAACACTGCACACATTTGACTGAACATTGTCTTTTGAAATGAATGGTTGTGTATTTAATATATGTGTATATATGACAACATTTGACAACGGTTACCTTCCCATCCACAGCTATGGGCGGCTGATACTCTTCAGTCTGCCACTCTCCAAACAGAGCCAGGTCTTTCTCATCCTTCTGCTCAGATGCCATCCTGGCTTTACGGGAACGGTTTGAGAAGCCCTTCACCATCTGAGAGAGTGAGACAGTGACATGGTTACATACACTGCCTTATTACCTACTCAGTTCAATTATACAGCGACCAAACAAAGCAATTAAGAGTCCTACCAAAGATTTAATGAGTCACCACAGACAGGTTAGTCTACCAAAAGTCAACTAAAGGCACAAAACCATGTTTCCATCAGTGTACATAAAAATGTATGTAAACAGATGATTATCTATGTTTTTTGCTTCTGCTGTTCACATTAGCATTGTGTCTGCCCAGTTTGCACTGGCTGAAATATAAAAATGCAGACTCACTCATTTATGGCTCTCACCGCCAACAACCTTGTCACTACCATTATTTTATTGATCCAATGAAGACAAACTGAGATTTACCCTAACGGCATCATTGCTCCCAAAAGTATTCAATACATGTGCACGTATACGGCTCCGAGTTTGGCTGGAAATTATGTTGAAATAAATTTTCACAGTCACTGAAAAGAAAACAGTTTTGCAAAGTCGCAAATTTAACTTTGGTAATTGTGTTTAGGATGCATTTATTCATAAACAAGTCATGTATTCCAGTTTGAGATACAGAGGCAATACTACCTGTGCACTGCTATAAAGTACATCTCAGTGAAATCTGCATAAATCTGCACTAACTACTGTCTACGCTGCAGAAAAACAAAAATGCTTCCACTCAAAACTGAATAATATGCTACACAGCGAGGTAAAACTTTGCTCTTTTGAACCGTCAATGCATTTTTTGGCGACAAAACACATGGGTGACTGCATGTAATTTTCACAGTTTAACTAGACCTCATCCACTTTAATGTTAGGAGGGAATATATCGTGAAAGAATGATGGTTAACTCTGTTAAAACCGTGTGTTTAATGGTTGTTTAAACATCAGTGCAGTGTTGATTTACATTTAAATGAATAAAGTGAGACCAAAGTTTCATTCTGTCCCTCATTCCTTTTTTCTCTTATTTGGTAACATCAGTCATGGATGGTGCAAACAAAGACCGCTGGACTTTTTTGCGTGAGTGGGATTAAGTTTGAGAGGAACTGAAATAACACAGAAACTGAAAGAAGGGAATTGATGGATAGATGAGAAAATGAAGAAAAGAAACAAATCAAAAATATTCACCTTATACGGCTCCTCTCCTATTCTGACAGTCCGTGCCTCTTTCAGCCAGGTGTCTCTGGAGTGCAGGGTGTGCACACAATCCCTACAGAGAAGGACAATGTAAACATAATAAGAATAATGAGAAATTGTTTATTTTTTTTAGACTAAAATTCACCTGAAGAATTTGACATTTGATAAGCCCAATGCAGACTCAATGTTTTTTTGCTTGTATTTGTAAGTAAGTATTAACAGTGCTTAACAAACAGTCAACAGCAGTCCTTATTTACTATTAGCACATCACTATTAACATGTCAACACCACAGCTTCAAGCACATGACATATTAACCAATCAAATAGCACCACCGGGTGGACACTGATGCTCACAGCCACCATTAATTCAGACATGCAGGTCATCATTAGCAGTGTCCCAACTTAGGTAATCGTCCAATTCACTGTGACCTGGACAACATCACCTGAGGATGTACAGGTGCAACAGCAACAATTAGTGTTGTTATTTACATGATATGACACATGATATAATGCTGCCATCATGCAGCATGCATTTGTCTTTGGAGAACGGGCTTTGGCTATAGCTTATGTGCTATGTCTTTTTTTTTTGAGTCTGGTAAGTTAACGTTTGGGAGAGGCTACTCGTTTTATATGTAGGTTGGCAATGAGCAAGTTGCCAACCTAGTTGCTAGGTTGCTTGTTTTGTCTTTTTGGTCCTTTCTCTGTAAAGCATTGCACCTGTGAAAGTGCATATTCATTTACACATAGGCTATTTAATTTAAAAGTCTTTAAAAGGCTGATTTTTGCTCTGAATTTGCTCATTGAAAGAAAAAGGAATACCCCAAAAGATATACCGCAGCTGTGACACATTCATGATGACATAGTTTACAGTGCGATTAATGACGTTGCAGTTTAACAGCCTTTTTCTTTCCAGTTAAAGTAGTAGATTAACCACTGACAGATGACCACATGTGTGCAAATACCCAGCAAATAAACAGCAGTTGTAAAATTTACAGACCGCACAGGACTTGCATGAACACCCTGTTAAACAAATGATGTCTCATGAGCTCCTGAGGCCTGTAGAGTAACATCTGCTGTCCCTTAATTCAAACCAAGTAAGACTGTTTCACCACTGACCTGGAGTACACCGCCTCTCCCCTGCAGTATCCCAGTATAGTGGCTGTCTGAGGGTAGATGGCTTCATATTTAAGCAGGTGTCTCTTTAAAGCGTACAGCGGGTGGTTCTTATACTCTGTTATTGAGATCGGCAAAGGTTTGCTCAGCAGCTTCTTCTGGAGCTGGATGGCCAACACACAAAGAAGATGGGTGGTATCAATAAATATAAAAGAGTGTTAAATCAGATGTCCGTGCATAGAGTAAATCATTGGATCTGTCTGGTCTGAATGTCTGTGTGTCTCTGTCTCACCTCCTTGTCCTCCCTTCTGTCCCTCTCATCCTCGGGCCGCAGTAACGGCTCAAGCGTTTCCTCCCACCAATCCTCATCCACCCGCCTCTTCCTGGTCGATGTCAACCAGGTGGGGTCGTACTTTCTCCCCAGGTCCTTCACAAAGCCGTCACCGTCCACTGACACCACGTACGTCACTGGAGCTGTTGCATTCTTGGAGCAGAGATGAGGCATCCCAACACCGTGCTCCACATCTATGCAAACCCAGGATGAAGTTTTCTCCAGATACACCTCCAACCACTCATCCGCCCCAGGCCCCTCCTTCTTTTTCCCACCCCGCTTTGTTGTGTTGCTTGTTGTTACTTCTTCCTCATCATCTTCCTCTTGCTTTTTGCCCTCCTCGTCTTTCAACTGTTTCTTCCCTCCACTGCTCCTCCTCTTCGAAGCTGCAGTGTTCTTGCTCTTCCCTTTCCCCTTCTTCCCCTTGGTGGATTTAGCCCCTCCCTCTGAATCCTCACTGTCCTCCTCGCTTGTCGCCTGAAACTCCTCATCACTAAGCCCCCCCTCCTCCTCCTGTTCCCCTTCGCTGTTACTTTCTTCCTTGTAGCTGACTTTTGAGGCGATGCTGCGACGTTTAGAGTTCTTCGGTCTCTGTCCTCCTGATGTCAAAGCCTTTTCCTCCTCCTCCTTTATCTCTTTCTTCTTTGCTTTCTTTCCTCCTCGGTCGCCCTTTACCTTCCCCTCTCCAGCTGGTCTTTTGGTGCCAGAGGAGACCTTCGGCTTAGAGGAGGTGGTCTTTGAGGTTTCTTGGCTTGTACTGCTCTTTTTCGGGGGACCAGGAGATGTTTTAGCCCCTTTACCCTGAATAAAGGACAAATATAGTTAGATTTTGTGTATAGGAACATAAAGAATCTAAAAACTGATTACCAGGTAATTCAGTGTAATCACTCTAATGAACAGACACATGCAGAGGCAAAACTATGTTTAAAGGAATGCTTTACCCACAAAATGACCATTTTTATATCAATGAGTCACGCCATTTCGACTTGAATTCATGGATAACACTTGCAAACCTCTGGTGACCAAAGAATCCAAAAATTTCAAATATTGTTGATTAATTTAAGTAAATAGGGACCGTGCGTAGTAGAGTAACACAGTCAGTCAGTTAATCAGGTGGTGTCACCTATGAATTTCAGCTGTTGACCACCATACTGATACCTTGAGCACAGAGAACAGAATTCTCTCTACATTAAAACGAAGTCACTGACTGAGAGCGGCTGCTGCAATTACATCAGTTTCCTCTAAAGTGCTCAATAACAGATCGACGTACCTTGGCTGATGGGGGTTTGAGAGGAATCGGCTGCAAAGAAAGAACCAATCTGCAAAAGAGCATCAGAGACCTCAGGACCAACAGGAACAGCTACAGGAAACACAAAACACACAGGAACATGATTATTTATTCTGTCTGTTGTGCCTTTGTTTGTTCACTCACAGGCTGAATTTTACTTCAATAACTAGACTAGTCTTGTGCCAAAATACCAACATGAGTCATCTCCTGGTGGTTTCTAGCCGACAGACTGGCGAGCCGTCTCTCCAGCAGAGCCCGGGGATCCGGACGCTCCTCACAGGGAAGACTGGGGTTGAGGGTGAACGTTGCTTTAAACCTGAGCAGGAAGTGAGAGAAAGAGGAGAAAATGGAAATAGAAGAAATAGAAGAGACAATGGTGATTACACAAAGGTAACAGATAAGGTGATGGTGATGACTGTGGACTCTAGCTTCAGGTACCAAAATACATTTCACATTTCCACAAGCACACACCATTTGAGCAGTCCAGAGAGGTAGTTTTGGTCAATGCGTTCCTTGGCGACCATGCCGTAGTGGGAGGGCAGCAGCGAAAGAGTGATGGCCAGCAGGTCAGGTTCACTGCACAGACGGCTGCGGAACATCCCACTGGCTATCAGGCACATCAGGTGGACCTGAGAGACCAATCATAGGTTTGCAATGACCAAAATCCCACTGTGGTGGCTTAAAATCAGACATAGGATTAGCAAACAGCGATAAGAAGAATATAATGAAGAAGAGAATATGTGTATTTTCACCTTATGTGTATCTATCAGCACATCCTTCTTGTATCGGTTCATCATCCGCCTCAGATACGTCTCAAACTCTGCCTGCCTCTTTTTTCTGGCCGGTGAGAAATTATGAAAATATTATAGTAAAACAGAAACATGTTTCTCCATAGTGTACACTCACACACAATTCTAAAATAATTCTGTATATACAAAGTTGCACCCTTACGCAGTTGGAAATGCATAGTGTACGACTATAATCAGACTTGAAAATTTGCAATGGTTTCCTTAAACATTCCATGAAGATGGTGGTTCTGCAGGTTTGAAATAGACAAAATTAGGACTTAAAGGAGCAGTGTAGGACTTAGTGGCATCTAACTCAATACCACTCCCCTCCCCACTCCCTCTCTGAGTGTGTAGAAGAGCCTACAGTGGATGTCAGGTGCATTCACACAACCAAATTCAAGCTGCCACTTCATCATAAAAATGTGACAGGCCCTCTCTAGAGCCGGTGTTTGGTTTGTCCGTTCTGGGCTACTGTAGAAACACTACAGTGCAACATGGCGGACTTTGTGTAAGAAGCTCTGCTCCCAGTGTACAGGGTTCCCACATGTTTTCATGGACAACACTTTTTAACTTTACCATGATTTTTCAAGGACCCGTGACAATTTTTTTTTCTTGTCCTGTGTGCTCAGAGTTTTACCAAAGTTAGCTGGAAAATATAGAGGGAGAGATGGGACATGGGGAGAAAAATGAAGAAACGCACGTGATGGTAAACAAAATGTCACACATCGACGCATATTAGAGCTACATAATGTCAACAGCTTCAGAAAATAAAATTCAATTCAATTCAATTCAATTCAATTTTATTCATTCAACACTGATGAAAAAGTAACTAAGAATATTTTATTTCATTTCTGCCAACAGAGCCCTTTAAATCCTACACACTGGAACTTTAGCTAAGCACGAAAAGAATCAGTTTCACGTGGAGTAAGCCCACAAGCAGCACTCTCAAGAATGCAAAAACCAGTCACAGAAAAGAAAACATTCTTCAGGCACTCTAAGGCAGAACTTGAAGAAAAGGAATCTTAGGAGCCCTTAGGAGACTGAATAAAGGCTTAAAAATACTTGTTCTACCTGAAGAACGTTTCCTTTGCAAGACTCAAGATGTTTTCTAATATATTTAAAATGAGGTGGATTTTACTGAACCTAAAACAGATCACAGCTCAATAACGACACTGTATCTAACCTTTTAATACATGACGACACAAATGTCCACGTACCTTTTCCTGACCTCTGGAGTCTCGATCTCGATCTCAACTGGCTGAGAGGGCAGGACGGGTTCTGGTGGTTCAACTGGACCCAGCGGCTCAGAAAGCTCTGATCGACACAAACACACTCAAATCATTTTGTCACTTCCGTCTCCCACTTTGATCCCAACATGCTGTAACACTTGTGACAAAATGTTTTCCAACTTGCTCACATTTGCTCACACACAAGCCAACACTGTCTTCTGCTAATCCCTCACTCACCTTCCACTTCCTCCCAGTCATCCTCGTCGTCCTCACTGTCCTCCTCCTCCTCCTCCCCTTCTTCCTTCTTTGCTTGTTTGGCTTTCACCATAACCACACGTGCTGGTGATGTCACCATGTCAAAGTCATCTTCACTGTCCTCCTCCTCCTCTACTTCCTTCTCTGTTTTCTTGGCGTTCAACATAACCACGCGTGCTGGTGATGTCACCATGTCAAAGTCATCTTCACTGTCCTCCTCCGTCACTGGCGACTGGAAGTACTTACTGGTTTTGACAGTGGTGGTAGGTGTGGATGGGGTGGAAGAGACGTTCCCTGCTGCTCGTTTCGTGGAGGAACGTGGTTTGGGTTTGACCTTCCTCTTGACGTTCTCCTCTTCCTCCATGATGCCATTACCTGGAAGGACAGACAGACAGAAATATGTTTCAAGCTAAGTGGGTTGAGTGATGATGAACACTGAGGAGGTCTTCTTCTTCTCACTCTTTGTAATGCCTAACAGAAGTACGATCACTCCAAATAAACAAGATCACCATCAGAGACCATCACGCCTCTGTCAGCCTCCACACTGCTTTATATATATTGCGAGCCACAGGATATTATTTCAAAGGAAATTTGTTAAACAAAAAGTGAAGTGGTGCTGTGTTTATCTCATTGGAGCCACAGGAAAAGATTGTTTTCTGCGAGATTAAACGCTAAATATGTGTAAACAGCACAGTGGTGGTGGTGGATGTGGTCCTCCTCACAGCAGGAAGCAGAGAGGCTTCTGGGAATTATAGTTGCAGTCGATAAATAATTTGTCATAAAACATGAAAGACATAGAAAGGCATCAAACACACGCTTCCAATCATCTCAAACAGTCTCATTTGTTTATGATAAATAAGGCTTGACATCAGTAATAACTAACCACAAAGAAACATTCAAGATAACAAAATTATGTGTATGCATGCAGAAGGTATGCATATACTGTATATGGTTCATGCTTTACACGCACACACACACACATTGAGGAAAGAAATTGTCGCCTGGTTCCACACTTACAAAAACATGCTGCATGTTTTGATGAAGTGGAGCACAGATGTGTATCTGGGCCAGCAGATCCACTCGAGTAACCATCCATATCACCCGTGCATGCACCTGCACTCTGGGTGCTCATTAAGTGTCTTTTTTTTTTTTTTTTTGGTGGCGTCAATAATAAAACAGCCACGTGTGTGAACACAAATCAAACAATATTCAAAATGTATGTATTTTTAACCACTGAAGACCCTGTCATTATGAGAGCACTTACAAGGACAGATACAACATATTGAGGCCTAAATAGGATGAATTCCCTCCAAATAAACTGAACCGCCCTCAAAGGCTGGGCAGTAATTCAGTATCGGCTGTCAACTTTCAGTGAAATCATACTGCGATGAAATATGTGTTATGTATGTTGTCATTTCACAAAATTTTCTTGTCCCAAATCCCACTGAATAACTGTTTCCAAAAAAAGTAATTCAAGGGGAACTACTCCCATTTTTTTTTTTTTTTTGTTCATAGATGTTTTTCCTACGGTCTATGACAGTTTAAAAAAAATAGGTAGGAATGGTGGAAGATATTTTAGATGACACTGAGAGCACCCAGTTGAACGTTCTGAATATATGGGTACATTTCCTGTTTGAGAACTAAGAACACTACAATAGAATAAAGCTCATTTAAAAACAAGCATTCTATTGGTCCACGAAATCAGGCTCCCACTCATCGTCTATGGAGAAGCTCCAGACTTTATACCCTATGACATCACAGGTCTGAGACTTCTCTGGTTTCTGGCTTTGAGAGAGAGTAGCTCATGCCCACAAAAATTGACTGAACTTTCCTAGGCCACCGAAATAATATATTGGAATTTTTTATCTAAGTGGTGTTCTCCTTTAAAACCAACAAAATTAGATACTAGAGGGGTTTTTCCACATGCGTGAAGGGTTCTGTCCGATGTATGATTTTGTTTATTGTGCAATCATGTTTTCATCATCTTCAGAGTATTTAAAAAATACGATCCATTTTAACTTTTAAAGACACAGAGACAATGTTACACGCCTTCATCTCTTGACGCCTGGATCACTGCAGCAGAGTCTTTTCTTGCCTGAATCAAAAATCTATTGATCAACTCCAGACTGAACAGAATGCCGCTGCCAGGCTTTTAACCAAAACCAAGATACGTGATCATATCACTCCAGTTTTAGGCTCTCTACAGTGGCTCCCAGTATGTTTTAGAATAGATTTTAAGACTTTATTTTTAAGGATCGTTATGGTCTCTCTCCCAGCTATCTCAGACCTCTTAGTGCCGTGCATGCAAAGGCGTACTTTATGGTCCTAGGGCAGATCATTTGTCTGTTCCTGAGGCCTGGCAGAAAACTAAAAGGGACAGAGGAGTGTTTGCTGTCAGGGCCTCGAGGCTCTGGAACAATCTGCCCGAGGAAATCAGGTCGACGGAGTCAATGATCTGTTTAAAGTCCCTTCTTAAAACATACTTGTTTTTAGAGAGCCTTTCCTGATTTTACTTGAGGTTTAAGCTCATTTAAACTGTCCTTTACTTCCTCAGTTTTTATATTCCAACGTGTTTATCAGTTCCTTTAAAAGTTGTTGTTTTCATGTCTTCTCTGTTTTGATTGTTGACAAGTTAAGCATTTCATAACTCTGTTTAAAAATTATTATTATCACAAACTGTTTTATGTTTTTCTCACATTTTACTGCATGTATTTCCCACGTCACACTATATGATATTAGAAAAGTATCTAAGTTTAGTACTGCTGTCACTCATTGATCTGTATCACTGAACTTACATCATTAACAATAATTTCATGTATGCATTTTAATTCTAGTATGCAATAACAATCATATAATTCATAACCCTACAACCATATAAAACAGGATGCTATCAGCAGGATACATCAGTATACTCCTCAAATATGAACTTTATTTTTTGTTACAGATGTTGTTAGACTGTTAGAATCACACTAGATAAACACTGGTCAGCAACCTAGATGTGGTTTCCCCAGTCATTTTTGGATGCAAACGTCACACATCCTAGCAGGAAACAGGCAGGATGTAAATATATCTGTATACATCAGATGGTATTGATGCATCAGTCCTAACTTTTCATACCTGCATCTTTCTTCTTCGCTCTCGCTTTTGCTCCGCTGCTCTTTGCCTTCAGCACCTGCTTCAGTTTCTTTGTATCGGCCTCTGTCTCTGCACTCTTTCTCCGCTTTGCCATCCTCTCTTTCTGTCTTTTCTCACACTTTTCTGAGTAAAAATCACTCTCTCCTTAAATTTTAGATGTTTTCGGGAAAAACTAGGCGGGCGGAAGTCCCTCAGATCTCCACATGGTGTTGGTTCAGGGCAGGGAAACAGTAGTTATCCAACATTTCACTCTGCAGCTTTCATAACACAAGAAGCTGAACTCCGGTTGCATTTGGAGGCAGGACGCTGACGTCACGTCCGCTTCTTCTTCTTCTTCTTCTTTTTCTTCTTCTTCTTCGCCGCTAATTTTGTAACTGAAACCAAGCGGCCCAGCTCACCATCTTCTCGTTAGTTTTCCTCACATTTTCAGGCTGAAACCAACATTTATTCACTCCTCTGCTGCTATCTTAACTGAAGGGCAGCTTTATATATAAATTGTGTATTCTTTAAGCGATGTAATACCACATTATGGACACTGAGGGGCGATGTTGTGCTGCAGGCTATAAGAGGTTTAACTACAACAAGTCACAGGTGAGATGTTCACGAGAGGCCATTGTCATTGTTCCAGCTCCTCATTCTCCTGATAATTAAGTGTCATCTTGAGCTCTGACAGTTTTTTTGCAGTGACATATTAATAACTACATTCATGGGGTTTCATAAAAGAGACACTCATCGTGCCAGGTGGCAACAATAGGGTCTGTTTATTTTTAGATTTGAGGCACTTAGCCAGAGGCAAACATAATGAGTTCATGTAGAATAAATCCAGCCTGTAGAGCCACAATATTAGAGACAGCTGGCCCGAGAGAGACAAACCAGACTTTCAAAAGATGTGTTATGTACGATGTAATATAAACTTTGCATAAAACAATGCAAAACTACCAGTAAAGTCATGTACCAAGCTCAAGGTCAGAGTCACAGCACCATAACGGGTTTATTCTAACTAAGGTGTCAGAATATAATCTATGAGGACTTCAGTACCAATGGTGGACTGTAACTATGTACATTTACTAGTACTGTATAATTTTGAGGTACTTGTGAGCAAACTGCTTGAGTATTTCCATTTTATGCTACTTTATACTCTTATTCCTCTAGTTTTCAGAGGCTCATATTCTATATTTACTCCACTACATTTATTTTAAAGCTTTAGTATTAAAGGAAAATATAAATCAACTAATAAATTATGATATACTATTAGAGTTTAAACTACCCACAAGTATTTAAAATAGCTCCACATTTGCTACAACAGTAAAGTGATGAACACATAAATATATCAATAACTATAATTCAATAATATATACATTATTCTGAAATGAGCCATTCTGTATAATGAGTACTTTTACTTTTTGTTGGCCTACTTTAACTTCATTTTAATGCAAATATTTTGTACTTCACTTAAGAGAAATTCTGAATGTAGGTCTTTTACTTGTAACACAGTATTTTTTCTGGGTAGTGTTGCTACTTAGGATCGTAGTACTTCTTCTTCTACCACTTTTCAGCACTGACATGATCTTCTAATTTCTAAATCTTTGTGTCATTTTCCCTTGTAATATGAATGTTGTCTTTGTTTGTTTGTTGTCAGTGTTCTGAGAAGATTGTGCTGAAATAAAGCAATTAACAGACGACTGACAAAAGAAGATTCCCTGTGGATTCTTGTGCACATTATTTAGTATGTTGGTGAATGGCTTCTGCATTGTACACAGACACATGACACCATGACCCACTCTAGGTAACTATTAAGCAAAATCACCAGGCTTAGTAGCCACTTCTAAAAATAAGTAGCCACAGGCAGAGGAGTCACTTTAAGTTTACACCTGTACAATTTCAGGTCATATGAAGCAGAAGCAGATGTGACGGGTTTATCTTTCTATCTATTTCTGTCCTATTTTAATTATACATAAATGTGTGGTATAAGTGCAATGTTTCACATATGGGTAAACAACATCCTGTCTTGTTTTCATGTTTTCCTGAAAAATGTCTCCTCTGACACTGTGACAAGCATTTAAATACATTTTATTGCTATGGCGACAAGCCTGTTCACTGATGTGATTCTGCTCTGTTATGTCGGTATTATATTGTATTATCATATTGTTTTATTTTTGTATGGAACCAGAGCATCACAATGTGTCAGGCCCACCTTAATAACAAAAAGAGTCACATCTCATTTGCGTTTGTTTCCTCACAACTGTCAGGACGACCCCTGACTCACTCATTCACTGGCTCCAGACAGGAGAATGTGGCTACAGTCGTCTCTGTGTGCCAGCCATATCCTGAGAGTTTCACTGCCTTCCACCCAGTGCATGCTGGGATACTCTCCTGATCCCACTGGGACCATGAATAAGAATTAAGTGGCTAAAAGTCCATGACTGAATGAATTCTTTATCTTGTTATTCTGCGATGAGTCTGCTACGAGTTCTGCCTCTTCATTTGGAATCAGTTCGGTTCATTTCAGTTCAATTTAATTTTCATTTTGTTCTGTTGTGATCCGTATCGATCATGTTGGGACTCTGCAGCAGATGTGTGTGTTTCACTTCAGAGAGCTGTCTGTCAGCTGATACAGTCAGACAGCTTCAGACTGACTCGCTGCAGTAGAGGGCCCTATGGGACCATTTCTGTCCCGAGTGTTTGTAAAGCATGCAACATACATATGCATACCTACTGCATGCATACGCATAAATGAATGCATGTTTATGTGTGCTGTGCATGCGCCTCCATATTTCCGTGTGACAGGCTTTCACTTCACGGTCTCCTGGATGTGTGCATGCATTTATTGCCTTCTGTGAGCATGTAGGCTCTTGAGAGTGTGCTTATGTACGTGTGTGTGTGAGGTAACAGGGCTTGAGTCCATTGTGCTGTACTCCCAGCGCGGTGCATGGCTTCCATCCCTATATGAACCATCAGTACAGTCAGATAGGAATAAAAAGCCATACAGCGCACTGGGCATTGGGAAGACTGGATTTTGAGAGCAAGGACACACACACACACACACACACACACATGCATGCACGCACAGAGTCAGATGATAGATGGAAAACATTCAAATAAAACCCCTGCAAACCTGGATAACAGCAGGCAAAGGACATTGACACAGAGAGAAAGGACAGAGAGCTGAAAGAAGACGACACTGGTTCCTGTATACTGGGTATACTGGGAACACCGTATCATGCTGGACCACAGAGTGATCAAAAGACTGATCATGAGACAGACTGTGTGTGAGTCAGTGGGAGAACGTGTGAAGCCTCATCAAGGTTACCACCCGGTGTTGAGGTGTGGCAACAGGTGTGACATCCATTTTTTATCCCCTCAGCATTGACTCCAAGGCAGCTGGAGTGTGCAGCTCTTGGCTCATGAGGATCAGACAGGACTACCCTGGCATTTGATGTACAAGAATTTGTCCTAAGAACTTGAAGACTCGTGATTTGTTAACCTTCACACACAGACATGTTTTAGATGATGTAGCCACAGACAATACCTTTTTGGATAGCACAGATGTGTCCTTTTTGATTCCTATATATGCAGTCATTATATTCATTATACTCTATCTTATTGTCCCAAACACAGGTACATCATCCCCATCCCTCAGCTTTCCCAAGGGCACAAATAACACACTTTGTTAGCGCAGTAGAACACATGTTGCAATCTATAATCCACATACCTTTTCACCTCATGGATGTTAAACCTTGAAAAGAATGCAAGAAACAGAAACACCAATCCAGGTACCTACACACTAACAGGGGAAAACAGCCATATTCAAACATTTTTACAAAGAGTGTCCAAAAATCCATTCATATATGTTCATCTGAAATACATTTTGAGACACAGTTTCCTCCTTGGCACCATATATCCGTAAGTATTGGAAATACAG